CTGGACTGGAAGCACTGCTCTTCTCAAGTTTCTCCTGTTCAAGGTATTTGGCTATCTCCATTAGGGTCTGAGGGGAAGTGGTTGTTCAGATGGTGGTGGTGATTGGACTTTCCTGGTATGTGTTGTCAAGAAGCTGATATTATTCCTGGACAAGAGGATGACATATATGGCTATGCACTTATGAACTAAAATGTTGTTATCTGTGCTTGAATTTTATAATTTTCTCAGAATTAGTTTCATCAATATGCTATTTCCCCATGATTGTGGACTTTTTAGTAACCCTATTTCATAGGCAAGGAGACAGGCTCACTAAGCCTAAATGTCTTGCTCAGTATCATATTATTAACCATTTAAACTATGACTAGGATTTGGGTCTTTTGACTCCTATTCCAGTGGTTCTTTTATTACACCCAGAATTAGAGTATGAATAGATAAGCCATTAACAAAATTGCTCCCTCATGTGCTCTCACTTGTTGAGACTCATAGTCTACTTGTATCAGTACCTTTGGCCCCTGGATTCAGCATGAGTAGAATGGCCTGTGAAACTATACCTCTAGGCCTCATTTGAATGATAAAGAAGTTTATTTTAGTTGGATGAGGTTTTTTTTTGTCAAGCACCATGGAACTGGTGCCAAAAGCCTGGATCTGCACCAGAGATGGGTAGTTGGATCAGCTTCTAAATGAAGCAGTTGGATCTGATGACAATCTGGTCTTACATTTGTTCCCTCAGTGACTGCCAAGATTGATTGGGTTTATTTGATGAGTTGTACAAATGTCCCTTCTTCCATCTCTACTCCATATGGATCCCTTTCCATCTCTACTTCAAAGCTACATGCATCCCATCCAAAGCTATATGCTTGGTATAGAGATTCTTTTGGTCAAAGGGAATCTGATTAGTTACACTTCCCCAGTACACAAAGTAATGATTGAAGTCCAGAGAAACATGACCTATCCTTCCTATCTACCAACATCAACTTTGAGGGCAAGGAAAAAGTAAGACAAATAGAAAAGTGGAATCAAAGCCACTGGAATAACTAAGGTTACCAGAATAACTTTGTGGACCTGGGGTCCTCTACCTTAAGCACTGAGTTAGCAGGAAAATTTGTTTTGATTTGCGGGATTCAGTCTTCAGCCAAGTTGACTGGCATGCTTCTATTCAACATATTGAAGATTATCTGTATTTCAATTTTGATCAAAAAGTTCCAGCCAACATTTTCTTGCCTTCCATTCTGTGGAGCCTTATTTGGCATAAGTAAACAAAAATGGGTTTTCATCTTGTCTCTTCTTTTTTTTTTCCTCTCTGAATTCTACTCACCATACTAAAATAATAACACTTCACATCCACATGGAAATAAATGCCACTATTACACAGATATTTCACTCATATTCACAATAGCTCTTTTTAAATAGATAAGGTTCTTGTGGAGAAGGATTCATGTCTCGCTTGGCCTGTATGATACATAACCAAGTCTACTGACTCTAAATTTAATTCCATTCAACATTTATTAAGCACCTATTAAGTATAAGACACTTTTAAGGGGCTGGAGATACAGAGATAAGAACAAAACGGTTCTTGTCCTCAGGGAACTTATATATTTCTGTTGGGACTAAGATATGTGTGCAATATGTACACAGAGAAGTAAAGACAAGGAAATTTGAGGAAGGAGAGAATATTAATAGCTAGAAGTATCAGGGAAGTCTATGATGAGGTAGGCAGCACCTGACTTTTGAAGTCAGGAATCTGAAAAGTGAAAATAAAGAATTACATCTTAGTCAATAGGAACAGCTTGAATGAATGAATGAATGGAAATAGGATAACTAGTTAGTCCAGTTTGGCTGGAATATAAAGTACATGAAGGGGAATAATGTGAAATACAGCTGGAAAGGTAAGTTGGAGCTAAACTGTGCAAGGGCATAAGCAACAGGCTGAGGAGTTTAATATGTTTTGCTAGAGGCAGTGGGGAGCCTTTGAAGGTTTTCAAGTTATGAAGTAATAAAGTCAGAGTTGTGCCTTAGGAAGACTATTTTGGCAGCTGTGTGGAGACTGGATTGGCGAGTTGAGATCAATTACAAGGATATTAAAATTGTACAAGTGAGTGGTAATGAGGGGGCTGAATTAGGATGCTGGCAGTGCAAGTAGAGAAGGGGATGGATGCAAGAAATGTTGTGGAGGTAGAATTGCCAGAATCTGTTGAGTGATTGGATATGATAAGATAAGAGAGAAAAATCCAAGATGGCTCTGAGACTGTGAACTTGGTCACTAGAGGGCTGATGGTGTTCTCTATAGAAAAAAGAAAGCTTGGGAGAGACACAAGTTTAAACAGCAAGAGGATAGACAGTTTTGGTTATGTTGAACTTGAGGGGCTGGTAGGACTTTCAAGTGGAGATGTCCAACAGTCAGATGTGGTTATTGGAAATGTAGAACTGGAGTTGAGAGAGATTAGGGCTTCATTTAGGAATGATTATTGAACCTGCGGGAATGGACAAGATCATCAAATGAAAGCCCACAGAAATGGTAGAATAGAAGTTCCAGAAAAGAGCTTCCATGGTTGTTGGGGGGGGGGGGTAGAAATAATAGAGCAATGACCGGCTTAGGAAAAAGATCTGAGAAGGAATGGTTAGAGAGGTGGAGAAGTAGTTGAGAGTATTCAAGCAGAGAAGGTGGTCAACAGTAAAAGAAAGAACACTAGAAAGTCAAGGCTAGTACTAAGAAAGAGCTGTTGGGTTTAGCAACTAAGAAATAATTGGTAACTTTGGAAAGAGAAATGTCGGTGAGGTTGGAACCATATTACAAGGAGTTAAGAGGTGAGTGGAGTGTGTGAAAAGACTAAGACAAGTGTCTGTATGATATTGACTAGAGTGGAACATGGAAAGAGGGAATGGAAGTTGCAGTGTGAGAAAATACTGATTCTTCCTCCTAACCCAATTTGTCTGGTAGATAGAGAAGGGAGGAAGATATGAAATGAAGAATTTTCATCAATAGAGAAGGTAGACAGGAATGAGAATTCTTCTGGAAAGAGGAAGGTTTTTTTATAAGCACAAAGGATGGAAAGATTACAAGAGGAAGTGATCAAGAATATGGTTAAAGAATATGAACAGGCAGTTTTTAGACAAAGAAATCAAAGCTATCTATAGACATATGAAAAGTGCTCTAAATCACCACTGACTAGAGAAATGCAAATGTAAACAACCTATTAGACTGGCTAATATGATAAGAAGGGAAAATGATAAAAGTTGGAGAGGATGTGGGAACACTGGGACATTGATGCACTGTTGGTGGAGATGTGAACTGATTCAACTATTCTGGTGAGCAATTTGGACCTATGCCCTAAGGGCTATAAAACTGTACATACACTTTGATCCAGCAATACCGTTACTAGATCTATATTCCAAAGACATAAAAAAGGGAAAAGGACCTATTTGTACAAAAATATTTATAGCAGCTTTTTTTTTCGTGGTGGCTAAGATTTGGAACTCAAAAGGATGACCATCAAATGAATGGCTAAACAAGCTGTGGCATAGATGGAATATTATTGTACTATAAGAAATGACAAGTGGGAAGATTTCAGAAAAACTTCTAAAGACTTACATGAATTGATGCAAAGTGAAGTGAGAAAAACCAAAACATTGTACACAGTAACAGCAATATTGTATGATGAAGAATTGTGAATGACTTAGCTATTCTCAGCAGTACAATGATCTAAGACAATCCCAAAGGACTCATAAGGAAACATACTATTCATCTCTAGAGAAAGAACTGATATTGTCTGAACACAGACTGAAGCATGCTATTTTTCAGTTTCTTCCTTCCTTCTTTCCTTTTTTCCTTCCTTTTTGAGTCTTCTTGTATAAAATGACTAATATGGAAATGTTTTATATGATTGCACATGTATAAACTATATTGGATTGCTTCCTGTCTCAAGAAGGGAGGAGGGGAGGGGAGGGATGGAGAAAGAGAATGTGGAACTCAAAACTTAAAAAAAAAATTAAAAAGTTGTTTTAACATGTAATTGGGGGAATGAGATTTTATATATATATATATATGTATATATATGTGTATATATATACATATATACATACATACATACACACATACACACACACATATATATGAATACATATATATATATATATATATATATATATATATATATATATATATATATATATATATATATATATATATATATATATATATATATATATATATATGAATATAGGGAAGTTAGTTCGTTAATGAATAAGCCAAACAGAGAAGATAGGGACTGGGCAAGGGTAGGTCTGAATCAGAAAGAGACACATTTGAAGAGAAAAAAAAAAAGAGATTTTAATTTTATCAGACAAAGACTCTTGATCACCAGATATGCAGAGAAACAGATATGAATTTTCTAGCCTAGAATAGGGAAGAGCCTATGACAATTCAATTGATTGGAGCAAAGGATGGTAGGGCTCATGCTAATGATGGCTATTAGGAAGTTCATGTAGTGAAAGAGGCCACTGACCCCAGGAACTTGACTCACATCTCACTCTTTAGTACAAGAATAGCAATGGCAGCAAGTTGAGATGCTCCTTACCCTCTTAGGATGTGTGCTCACGGGGCCTCAACAGTGGCCTTATTGTATTCTGGGATCTCCAATAGAATCACAGGTATGTTTTGGGCTGTTTGCTGTGGTTGTAAACATTTCTGGTTACATTTTTGCACTTGACTACACTGTCTACATCTTTGTCTTCTAAGTAGGAACTTTCATGATCTGTAATAGTTTATAGATTTCTCATCTTAATATTATGTCACTAAAGTTCCTCCTAGCAAACTACAGCATTTTCTGTTAGGTGGAATTGAAAACTGACTTTGGGACAGCCTCTCTCCACAGATCCAGCATTCTGAGAGAAATCAGCTTTCTCTGTTTGCCAACAAGTTGTTGAACTAATACCATTCTTGTCCAAGGACTCCTATTTCCTCATTTTTTTTCTATTTTCAAAAAAAAATTCTTTTCTTACAGGATTCGTTAAAGGCAAATGAAGATCTGGAATCCAGATTAATTGTGGAACAAAGAACAAACTTCTTTTAAATTTTCAGATTTGTGAAGAGTTGGCAGCAGCAATGTATTAACAACTACTGGAGACAGAGGAAACTTAGAGGCAAGAATATGCAGAAAAGTGATCCTGGCTCAAGTATGTATGCATTTAAAAGGAAGTGAATAATAATGGTGATTATCTAGACATTAAGAAAAATGGCAATTGCTTTCTCATACCACGGCCATCAATAACATCCATTAAAAGGACCAGTGCTGCTCAGTAATGAAATTCTGCCTAACTTCATTATTACTTTTTAAAAATATGGACTTTGAAGTTTCATTTCTTGGCTAACCCAAAATATTTAGAAGTAGAGAGAAAGCTTGGCTTTTTTTTTTTAAAGAAGCAACAGTTTACTTGTCTTCTTTGAGAGATTATACCAAGGACTAGATTACAGTAGTAGAACCCTTCAAAATGCCTCATATCACTCAGGTCCCTTCTGTCACTATTTCCTGTTTCACATGAAGAAACAGTACCTTTACCATTGTACTATCCACTGGAGGGAGTCCAGCACTCGTGATCAATGCAAGTATCCAATAATCATCTACTGTAGAGTGAGAGAAATTCAGGATACAGACTACTTAGGGTTGAGATAAATTACAAATAAAGTTTCATATTACTCAGGGTGGGCCAGGTTTGAAGGCTCTTTGTGTCAGGCATACCCCCAAATTGGGTCATGATCTTTGACGACCTTGGCTTTTAATCTTCTCCTCTACTTTCATCTCTAGAGTTGAGCCTAATTTTCTTCCAACTCCTTACAACTGAAGAAGCAAGATTTTTTTCTTCATGATTCTTTGGCTTTGATTCAAAACTGCTATCCATATGACCAAATGACCCTCAACTTGGCTGTTTTTTTTGGACTATGCCCATAGAAAATATCTGATTGGTCTTTCTCTTGGCTATGGACACTCAATACTTTACTCAGTTTCCCTAAACTGCTCTTCCTCTTCTGAGTTTGGTTTCCTTCCAACTCACTTCTTTTGGCTTTTCTGTCTATACCCTCCTGTCCTTTATACATTTCAAATTCTTTGTTCTCTTAGTCTTTTTACTTTGGGTCTGTTCAGTGTGTGTGTGTGTGTGTGTGTGTGTGTGTGTGTGTGTGGTGTTGTTGCTAATAGTAGTAGTAGTAGTAGTCTTGTCTTAGTATCTTTTCTGCTACCAGTTTCAATAAAAAGCCCTCTTAACTCTTTACAACTCTGCCCCCTGGTGTCATCAGTCCATATAGGTTAGCCTAGGGATCCCTTCTCCTGTTCACTCACTATAGTCTTTTTTCAGGGGTCCAAGTTGTTCAAAAAAAGTAGCTATTGTCTTTATGGAATCACTCATTCTTCCTTTAAAAAAAACACTTAAAAATAGTCAAGGCTTCGCATTTAAATTTTCTTCCCCACCCCCAAGGTTGTCTCTTAAGCCATGATTGCTTTTGGGGAAGGGTAGAGAGGGGACATATAGGTAGGCTCTGCTTTTGCTACACACTCTCAAATCCATGACAGCTGTCTTATGAAGTTTTTGCTTTAAATTTGTGTGTGTGTGTATAGTTAGATCTTGCTTGTTAGACTGGTAAAAACTCCATTTTCACATGTTTTCATTGTCCAAAGTATCCTCTAACTCATCAGTGTGGAATAGAATTTGTGTCCAACACATCATTGACTTTTAGTTGTGGAATATCTTTAGCACACATGATCCAGAAAGGCTTAGGTATTGATTACTCTGTGGTAATTGTTTAAAGCAACTACTTTGAAGTATAAAAGAAGACTATGAAAACAAAAAAGAATAGAGAGTAGATTTAAATGTATAAAGAGGTCATCAAAAAAAAAGCAAGCCACATATAAGTATATCCCAATAGAACAGTTTATGACTAAATGGAACAAAGTTGAAGTCTTTTCAGTTTGCACCTTAGTTGATTAAATACTCAGGGCAATATGGTCTAGTGACCCAGAGGTGGCCAACCTGCAACCTCAAGGCCACATGTGGCCCTGTAGGTCCTCAAGTGCAGCCCTTTGACTGAATCCAAACTTCACAGATCAAATCCCCTTAGTAAAAGGATTTGTTTGTTAAACTTGGACTCAGTCAAGAGGCCACACCTAAGGACTTAGAAGGCCACATGTGGCCTCAAGGCCAGGTTTCCCACCCCTGGAATCAAAAGGGCCCTGCACTGAAAGACATGACTCTTAGTTTAGGCTCTGCCACTTATACTGTCTTACTTGGGCAAGTCTAGCTCTGTGACCACAGGTGAATCTTTGGGGTCACAGATCACTTTACCCTCTGTGAGTCTGCCTGCCTCAAGTCTCTCCCTACTATGATCCATTCTTCATTTAGTCATCAAAGTAATTTTCTTAAATTGCAGATGCAGTCATGTCACTCCCCTGCTCAATAAATTCCATTGGCTTCCTTTTCTCTCTAGGATCAAACACATTCTGGCATTCAAAGCTCTTCAAATGCTAGCCTGCTCCTACCTTTTAGTCTTCTTACGCCTTATCTCCCAACATGTACTCTTTGATCCAGTGACATTGTCCTTCTGATTGTTCCTTGATCAAGATTCTCCATATCTTGGCTCTGGGCATTTTCTCTGGCTCTCCCCATACCTGGAATGTTCTGTCTCCTCCTCTCCAAATACTGACCTCCCTGGCTTCTTAGAAAAAAAAAGTTTAATATTTGATTTTGGATTAAGACCTAGAGAATATGGAATTCCTCACTTAGAGTATTTTGCACAGAGATGAAGAATTTTACTTAGCCATTTATTCAAACCTAGTTGTCCTTTTTTCTGCTGCCATTTGGAATAAATAAAAATTTTGGACAAAGCTGAACTTAAATAACTAAGAGAGAGAAGCATGGCAACTAAGTAATTGTTGAGGGACTGAAAAGACGTTCATAAACGTTTCCATTACATTTTTCTTTTCTTGCTTTAAAGATCATTTTAAAGTGTTATTTGTGAATGTTCAGAATGAAGGTGGTTAAACTTAACGTTGTCATTTACTTGAGAGAACACTAGATGGCGAAGTTCTATGAAGAAACGAAACCATGCGTTTTTTTTTTTTTCCGGTCTCTCTTTAAAGGCCAGGGATTGTTTTGGCCTTTTTAAATTTTCTATAGTCAAATGAAACCAGACTTGCTATTTTGAAGCGATAGCTTTATTACAACTTTGGCAAGGCAGTCAAATAAATAATATTTAGCACAACTTCTTTTTTTAGTCTCAAAAAATTATCTTTATGTGTACGTAAGCAGCCTCACTCCACAGATAGGGATAACAGCCCTTGGAATCACCACAGGAGGGAAGAGGTAAAATATGACCCAAACCCTGTAAAGAAACATGAGTTCACACCTATTGGACCTGAAAGAAATAGCCCTTCTAAAATTCGTGACTGAGGGAAGCCAAACATCGTCTGATAGTCATCTACATTCCAGGAGAGCAGATTTCAGAAGGTTCCAAAGAGGGATATGGCATCTATGGGGCATCTAGGGGAAATCAACCCAAGAGGGATGGGAACCTTTCAACAGTAAAATTCTGAATACATAAAGACACAAACATTTCAATGAGGAGGAAAAAGAGAAGTTGTCTAAAGAGACTGATGTAGATATTGGGGAACTCACCAACTAAATTTGATTTTTAAAAGATCCATACAGAAGACAGAAACAAGGGTAAAGAAGAGATGTTGGACATAAGAACATATTATAGTCCTGTAGAAAGTTCTTTTAGGAATGCTAAATCTCAAAAGGAGCTTAAGCTGATGAGGATGCATGAGAAACTCATCAACTAATTTAGATTTTGTTTTGTTTTGTTTTGCTAGGCAATGGGGTTAAATTATCTGCTCAGGGTCACACAACTAGTAAGTGTCAGGTGTCTGAGTCAGGATTTGAACTCAGGGACTCCTGACTCCAGGGCTGGTACTCTCTCCACTGCGCCACCTAGCTGTTCCCTCTAATTTAGATTTTTAAAAGATCTGGGCTTTAAAAGAAGAGCAGAGAAGAAGTGTTGGACATAAAAACACATCATGGTCTTGCAGAAAATACTGTTAGGTATGTTGCATTTCAAAAGGAGCCAAGGCTGATGAGGAAACCTAAAACCACCAATTTTAAAAAGTTGTTATCTTAGGGCAAAGAGGAGGATCAAAAAAAGACTGGGACCAATGAATGCATTGTCTGGGTGGAATAATGATAAGCACCAAGAGAAAGAAAGCAAAGCTGCTTAATTCTTATTTTGCACCTCTGTTTGCCAAAGAGAATGACTTTTGGACAAGAAAGCACAGGACACAGTAGCCAATTAGGATGTTGGCAATACCCAAGATAAGTAACAAGATAGTAAGAAAGTACTGATCATTGACCGTGATCAATTGACTAGTAAGCAATTAGTAAGTTTCTGCTATGTGCCAGGAACTGTGCTGGGTGCTAGGAATACAAAGATGAACATGATGAATTCAAGTCACCTGGAACAGAGGTGATTTGGGACATTCTTAGGAACGGAGAGAACTGCTGAGAGGCTGTTCTTTGAAAGTGAGAGATACTACAGGGCTGCAGAAAGGCAAATTTCCTGAGTTTCAAAAAAAATGGAAGGGAACAGACCCTGTAAACTATTGGTCAGTGAACCTGAATTTTATTTCTGGGGAAATTCTAGCACTGATCATTAAAAGCATAGGGAACATCTGAAAAAGAAAGTGATTACAAAGAGCTGGCATAGTTTCATCCAACACAGGTCATGCCTAACTCTATTTCTTTTTCTGACAGGGTTATTAAACTAGTATGTCAGGCGAATGTTGCATGCATTGTTTGCCTAGACTTTAGCAGAGCATTTGATGAAATGTGTCACATTATTCTTGCACTAAAGATGGAGAGATGAGAGCTAAAAGATGATACAGCTAGCTGAATTTAGAACTACTTGGATGGATAGGCTCAAAGGAGTCATCCTACATCAAAACCTTATTTCTCTTTAGTTCTGTTGCTGTTCAATCATGTCTAACTCTTCATGACACCATTTGGAGTTTTCTTGGCAAAACCCTGGAGTGGTTTGTCATTTCCATCTCCAGCTCGTTTTATAGATGAGGAAACTGAGATAAACAGGGTTATGTGACCTGTCCAGGGTCACACAGCTATTATCTGAGGCCATA